GTGTGTGTGCCAATGGCTCAGCAAGGATGGGCTCTTGGCTCTGCCCTGCACAAGGTGACCTGCAAGCACAGTGTCCATCCTCTCTTTACTCCTTGATGGGAGATCCCTCAGCAAGGCCTTGTTCCTGCACTGCCCTTAGGACTGAAGTGCTGTGAGGGAGCTGTCACTGGGGAGGTGTTTGCAGGCCCTTTCTCTTGGACTCCTGCCGCTTAGGAGGCCACAACTGAAGAGTATCACTGCAAGGACAGCAGCTTTTCATGTCCTGATCCCATTGGGGAAGGCAATGACAGAATGGTTGATGAACAGGACTCTTGGGCTGAGGTGATAAAAACAGATTTGCAATGAGCCCACCTTGAACAAGCCCCAGGTCTGGCTCTGGCATGTGGGACAGGCACTGACCTATCTGCAGGGAGGTCTTTATATGTGGCAACACTTTGAGATGTTCCCTGCTACTTTTCAGGCTTCATTTCAGGGAAATGATTCCAGCAGGTGCTTCCAGAACCCTGGAGACAAAAGTCCATTCATACAGGAGGCTTCTTGAAGAAAAATGCTTCATAACACTTTCACTTCTAGACACCCACAGTTCTCTTCAGTGAGGTGAACCCTTCTTGTGTTGCCCTGCCTCCACCTCATATAGGTGAGCAGTCTACAAGGACAAATAAAAGCTTCTGCTAGAAAACCTTCTCTTAAAAAGGAAAAAAAATGTGAATGCATAAAATCCTGGTAGAATTATTTCTTTTTCTTGGCTGCAGCTGGTTTTGTTGTGTTGGTACTGCTTGTGGCCTGCTTTTTGCAGTGGTGGTTTCATTCTACAGTCTGCCAGCTGTGTACCTGCCCTTTGCTTTAACATCTAGACAGGCTCAACTTCTCCCCAGGCTGGAGCTGGATCGAAAGACAGCAGCTAAACTAATAAATACTTCTTGTGATGAGTTGCAAATTTTGTTTAATTGAATCTTTGAAGGCAAAAAGGGGAGTGAAGGGCCCATTAAATGAATTATTTCAATATAGCAATCAGGTGATGCAGGCTTTTTTGTGTTTATTAAAAGGCCAAGTCAGCTCTAAGCTCAGCTGAGCGAGAACAGCCCAGAAAGCCGGCCAGTTCTTGTACTCTGCTGCTGTTTAAGGGCCAGATCTCTCTCCCTGAATAGCATATTTAAAGTGGCCATGTGAATTCTTATTAGGCATCCAAACATAGATACAAACTCATGCATTGTAAACAGAATTACCCTGCACAGAAACCGAGCAAAATGCAGTAAGGTCTTGTCTTTTCTTTTATCGGGTTACCCAGGCATGTTTTTTTTCAAAAAGTCCGCCCACGCAGAGAGACTGGGGAATGCCAAAGCTGCATGAATTTTAATTATGCTAGACATGCAACAAGGGGCTACCTTGTAAAGAATAAAGTTAATAAAACATTGATATGGGCTTAATTCTGCTTAAGAAGCAGCCCTGGCAATGCACATTTTAGATGTAATTTACACAGAATGGAAATTTGGTACAAATCTTAAGAGGTGTCTGCATGCAGACTTTCAAACTCAACAGTGCCTTCCTATTGGAAGAGATTTGTTGCTATGCTGCTGTAAAATGGTGAACTAGGCCATTCATAATTATTGGCCAGAGATGGGATCCTTTCTTTTTTTTTCCCCATTCAACTACAGCAATGTGCACACACATTTTAAAGTGGTATTAAATGTAAATCTCTTCCTTCATTTTCATGTATGCATTTTCAGTAGCTCTGCAGATAAAATAGTAAAAATCCTGCATATATTTGTATCTGTCGTTAGCTCTATATGTACAGAATTAGTAAAGCAGAGATATGCCTAATGACTGAATCTACAGAATACAGCCCATGGCTTTTGAAGGCTCTATGAAAAATAAACAGGATATTCTGTTAGCAACCCTGCGGGAATTATTGCACTTCACTAAGGAAAGATGCCAATAACCTCCGTTTTGACCTAGATAGATCATTCTGTTTAGGAAGGTAAGGGAATGCAATTCTAGATCTCTTCTCTGCTCAAGTCACCAAAGCCCTGAAATTCCGCCAGGCCTTCATTTTAAACCTCAGCACTAAGGACAGATGAGTTTATTTATCAAGAGAGTGAAACCTCAAAAATGGTAGTGTCTTGAAATATTGATATTGGTCATGCAGAGGCTTCTGTATGTTTGGGGTAGGGATATTTAGTGAGCACAGTGAGTCTGATCCTTCAGCTGCCACGTGGAGTCTGACCCTCTGCCTGTTCCTCTGTGCCAGATGGGGTCTTTCTCCACATACTGCAGGAGGAGCACTGGCATGTCTCTCCAATGTCATCAAAACAGTCTGTCTTGGTTATTTTATGAGTTGGTCCTACTCTTGCATTCTGTTTTTCATAGGGTGCACTGTGCAGCTTTGCAGACTGGTACTAAAGTGAGGAAGAAGCCCGGAGAGAAGGGGCATGTCAGAAAAATTGCCTTCAGAACTATATAATATAGATATTATTTTATATTAAAATATGCTTTAAAATTATGTTCCTTAAGGAAAAATGCCATATTGGCCCAGTTTGCTCAAACAATTCAGCTTCCAGTGGTAGTAATGAGGAAGGCAGCCTGTGACTCTCAGAGAGGCTAGGTGGTTTGGAACAGTGTAGGCTGCACAACCCTCAAAGAGCAGTGGCTGATACAGATGAAAATGGAAGATGTTTTGAGCCCTGTTTCCCCAAATGGAAGTTGAAGGAGAGAACTTTCACTGTTAGAGATGAAAGCACATGAAGACTTTTCTTTTTCACTTGGCAGCTCACCAAAGGTTATGTTTCACTGGTGAGAATGAGCATGATGAGATTGGCATTCCATTCTCCAGCTCAAGACCACTCTGAGCTTCCTTGGTGTTTATAAAAGCTTGGGCTCTTCAGAGTTTTGTGAAGTTGGGGCATGATTTGACCCATGCAGATGTACGTGTCAGTTATGTCACCAGGAGCTCATGGCACTGTGCCCATGTTCAGAACCAAACCCTGTGGACGGACTCCTTGGCCATCTACAGATAAAGGCAGACCTGCATGTTGGCAAATGCAACACTACATTCAGTTTCACAAGCTTTGGCTTAATTTAATTCAGTCACTGCAGAAGCAGGAAAGACCTGGGAGAAGCCTTTCTTCCTAAGAGTTGCAGCAACTCTCTTTTCAGATCCACTAATCGTCAGGAAAAAACATACTGTGACTGACTTTATCGCTGATTAGGATCATTTTTAGGTGCAGAGCTGCTGCTCCAAGTTTACAGCTACACAACAAAACAAATTTGTCACACGTCAAAATAACTGGAACTTATGTAATATGGGGTGGATAAACTGGCATTTTTTCATCAGCAAAAAAAGTATCTTTATATATAGATGGAAAAAATCTCTTTCTTGAGAAGATATGAAGATATGCTCACATCTTTTGAAGACGAAGCTTTGGATAATTCACTGGCATTTCAGACAGTGATTCTCTGATTGCAAACAGCTTTCTTGAGGCCATGCCTGTACCTTGTACTGCAATAATTCTTTGATGTCAAGTGAAATAATCCGATAGAGAAAATTAAAATCTGAAGCATTTTAGCTACAGGAAAGGGAAGAAAAATCTTTATTGATTGGGATGGTGAAATCTGAACAAGAAAGTTGGCAGTAGTTAAAAAGAGAGCAACAGCCTGGAGAACCTGATTCCACCTTGTTTTGGTATGCATAGAGACTAAGAGTAAAAATCAGGAAGTAATGCCAGAGTTTAGTTATGGACATAGTTGGCCAGTTGTCTTTTTTCCCCAATACAGTAAAATAATTTAGAGCTGAAGTCTAGAGGTGAAGAATTCAGAAATTTTTTAGAACTTAGAAGTGAAGTAGTTAAAAAGATTATTTTGCTAAATCTGGTAATTCCTAGGGAGTGTCACCAATTGGTCTAAAATGCTCTTGTCAGCTGGAAACATGCATCATCCATACACCTTCAGGACTGGCTTAATCCTGTCCTGCCATTGTTACTCGCCAGTGTAGCAGTGTCCTTTCTCCCCAGCCGAGATCCCCTCTCCCTCCACCCCGACGCCTGTGCGCTCCCCGAGGTGTCTGCTCGTCTCCTAACTAACCTGGTAGCTACCATCGCTACCTGTTCCTTGAACCTGAAATCTGGAGAGCACCGTCCTTGTGCAGCAGCAGCAGTGACTTCTCTAGATAACCAAAGATGTATCTCCACCTTCAGTTTTTTTCCGTGCGGTTTTGTGGCAGGAGATATGCGGGAGCGTGCCCAGCACCTGCTGATGGCGGTGTGTCGTGGGGCCGCTGTGGCCGGGGGCAGCCCAGCAGTGCCCGCCGCCGCCGGAGCCGCCCGCTCGCTCCCCGGCCGAGGAACCGGCCCCCGGCAGAGCAGCCCTCGGGACTGTCCCTTCTCTCTGCTGCCTCGGAGAAGCGGGGAAAGCCACCGACACGCTCGGCTGCCGAGGCTGGGCGCTCGGGCGTTGTCAGCAGCGGCCAGGCAGGCAGTCGGGGCGGCTGCACGAGTGGCAGCGGCTCCGCCGGGAGGGCTGCGGTCCTGGGGAAGCCCGGCTGCCGGCAGCTCTGCCCGGGCGGAGCGGCAGAGCCGCCGCGGAGCTGCAATGGCTTCGCTTTGCCTGCGCGGTATTTCTCATCCAAACCTCGATCACGTAGGATTGCGTAGAAGAGGGCGAGCGGGAGCAGCTGCAATTCTCTCTGAGCCCGGAGCCCGGAGCCCGGTTCCCGCCCGGCCGCCGCGGGGCTGCGGGGCTCCCCGCCGCCTTGGCAACAGCCCTGCGCAGCGTGGGCGTCCGGGGGGGCTTCCCCGGCCCCTCCCTCCCCTCGCCTCCCCCCACCTCTCCTCGCCTCCCCCCTCCCGGCTCGGGCAGGAGGATGCAGGCGGGAAGCGGGCGCGGCTCGGCTCCTCCTCGCCCCGCCGCCGTCGGGCGGCACCGCGGAGCATCCTGAGCCCCGCACGGAGCACCAGCAGCAGTGGCAGCCGCACCCCCCCCGCCCTTCTCCTCCTCCACCACCTCCCCGCCTTGCATCGCTCCTCCCGCCGCCGTCCCTGCCGCGGCAGCCGGGCCCGGGGCCGCCCCGGTGCCGAGTGCTCGGCGGCCGCCCGGTCGGCCGGACGATGTGGGTTGCTGCCGTCGGGGAGAGCCGGTGCCGGGGCAGAGGCGGCGAGCAGGGCAGGAGAAGCTGCGCCAGCCATGGCGCTGTGAGCCCGGGGCGCCGAGCTGCGGCGATGTGAGCCCGCACTCGCGGCCGGGCGCTTCTTTTTTTTTTTTTTTTTTTTTTTTTTTTTTTTTTTTTAAGAATTTAATTTTTTTTTCCCTTCTTTTAAATTTGTTGGTGGGCCTGCTGCTTTTCCCCGTGGCTGCTTTTCCCTTCCCCTCCCGCCCTCTCTGAGAGCAGAGTGGGTAGGGGGGGAGAGGAGAAAGAGGAGGAGTGCGAACAGAAATGCAGCGCGGCTCTCCCTGAGCCCGGCCGCGGAGCCGCGTCCATGTGCGCGCCCTGCCGCGCAGCGCCTCGGAGCCACCGCGCCGGGGCCGGGGCTGCCCGCGGGCCGAGGGGTCTCTGACTCATCCCACAGCCCTCGCCGGAGGGCGGCCGGAGGGAGGAAGCGCCGCCGCCTGCGCCCGGGCGGAGCGGAGCGGAGCGGCACCGCGCCGCAGGGACCGGCGGAGCCTCCGCGTCCCTCTATCCTTTGGACATAGCGGACCTTCGCCAGCGGGGCGGCCGCTCCCGGATCTACGCGGCGCCACCAGCCCGGCCGGGGGTCTCGCCGACGGCCGCCCGCGCCGGGATTTGCGCTCCCCGGGGACAGACCCATGGGCGGCGGGGTCCGGCGTCCAGCCATGGTTGTTAGCCCGGGCGCCCTGCTCCGCCTGGCCGGCTGAGCCCTCCCCGGCGCCGGGACTCGGGGCTGCAGCGCGTTTAGCGGGGTCGTTCCCGTCCCCGGTCCCCGCGGGGCGCGGCGGCGGCTCGGCCCCAGCGCGCCCGGGCGGCGCACCCCGGAGCGGAGCGGCGCGGGGGGCCCATGAGCGGCGATGGCAGCGGCTATCGCCAGCTCGCTGATCCGGCAGAAGCGGCAAGCGAGGGAGTCCAACAGCGACCGGGTGTCCGCCTCCAAGCGCCGCTCCAGCCCCAGCAAGGACGGGCGCTCCCTATGCGAGAGGCATGTCCTGGGGGTCTTCAGCAAAGTGCGCTTCTGCAGCGGCAGGAAAAGGCCGGTGAGGAGGAGACCGGGTGAGTACGGCGGGCCGGGGCCGTGGGAACACGCTTGGCCGAGAGGGCAGCCCCGGAGCCGCCGGGATGGCTGCACCGGGGCACCGCCGGCTGCCGGCTGGGGACGAGGCTTACTCCGCGCTCAACTTTGGCCTGCGTCCTGGCAGATCTGCTCCCCTGGGCTGATGGGATGGGTGGGCAATTCCTGCTGCCAGCATCCCTTCACGACTGTCCGAAGGGTGAGCACAGAGGCTCCTCTAGCAAGAGTGGCCCAGCAGTTTCATCTGCCGAAGCTTCACCCAGAATTGTATTTTTCCACTTCCTCGTAAATAAGTTTTTCAAATAGTTATCATTTTCTGCATGGAGACAAGGAAATCGATAAACTGAGGATCAGTTAAAATTGTGGCCATTTGGTTACTAAATCCATCAAGTGCTACTTCAAGAGCAGAGTTTCTAAGCTAATTTCATTAGCTTAGAAAGCTTTTTTGATGGCAGCTGCACGATGGTTACACCTGATACTGAGTTTTTGAGACCTAGAAATGCTCTTTAGGATAGTCCTTTTTTGTCTTCTTAATTTTCTTTATACTTTTATCCTTGTGTGTGCTCAGCCTTGGTTCCCTGTGAAGAACTTCACCCTAGTGTACACCCTAGTGCTCACATTCCCACGACGGAGTCCCACCACCCAGTTTCAATTCTGAGCATTGCTTTGGGCTCTCAGCTGTCCTTGGTAGGCATGAGAACTCAGCACCTGGCAAGAATAGGTCCTCCATAGTTTCTGAGTGGAATTAAGATTTATGTCTTGCTTTATTTTTTTTACTGCTATAAGTCACCATAAAGGTAAGAAAAGAGATTGGTTTGAGAAGCTGCTGTGAAGATGTAGTTTTTTCAGATGTTTTTCAGTATAATGGTTAAAAAAGGGGGATACTCACTCACTTAGCCATTCAGGATGTACCAGCAACCTGTGTAACCCCCCATGTTTTCCATAAACATTAGTATTATGTTTGTGCATCAGTCTCTTCATGAAGCCCCTTTTCCACAGCTGAGATCTGTTGGTAATGAGTCTCCACCAAGGTGTCAGATGTAGCTAAGGCTGCTCTTCTTGTCTATAGACTGATGTACAGGACCTGGACTCATCTGAGCAAGGGAAGGAAATGGGACAAAGCCTCTCACCATAGAAGGCCACTTCTGTCAGAAGGCCACTGTTGTCAAACAAAGGGGAAAGAATATTTACTCTGGATTGCTGTCAGCACTCCAGATTCACAGGCTGTGAGGCAGGAACCATATTTAGTTACAAAAATGTTTGAAGACTCAATGCATGGGTTAGGCTGTGCAAGCCCATTTCTTTAATGGTCTGCTTTAAAGCAGGTATTACAAGATGCTGTAAAATACTTAAGATATAGTGTGACTTGAAATATTCAAAGGAGAAAAATTGCCTATCATTTTTTTACTACTCAAGTTATGATGGGTGGTGGCTTGCTGGACTATCCTATATATTGGTTAATCTGTGAGACAAGACCAGAACACGGCTCTTGCCCAAAAAAATTTTGGCATTTTGTCTCAGGAATCACTCTTTGCAGGATCAAGAATGGGAACTGGGAATCTTATTGATGTAATTTTTGATATTCCTCTTTCCCCTCTATCCTAATCTGCTATTAAATGCAGTCTCATAAGGATTAAAAGGGCTGGGAAGTGTAGATCTTTAGCTAGATTTCAGGATTGTCTCATGAAAGTTTTAGTGACTTCCAGCAGAATTTGGTTGGGAAGGCTTTCTATTGGTCCTACCCCAGTGCTCCCAGCTACACAAGTCCAATTCTGCTTCCTTGGAGTCAGTAAATGCCTGTGAATAATTGATGAATTTTAAGAATTCCCTCAACTTTCATGGACTTCCATGCTGAGGAACATTTTTGATAACTTATAGGCAAGAGTGATTTTAGGGAATCTTTTTATTGACTTAGAAGGAGGATCAGTGCTACTCAGTGTTGTAAAAATAGAGCTGCTCAATCTTCAGAGCTGTCAGTCAATTGCTTGTAACCATACTGTATTCATTTTATAAAATCAAAAAACTAGAGGAATGAAGTTGCTATGAAAAAAAAATCTTAAGTCTCCTTTCATAGGCTATGGACTGGGTCTGCTTTAGTTCCCTGCATCCATCTTTTAACTAGGGATTTATTTCACTGATACATCGTATTTCCTGGTCTTGGGCACTCAGGAGGCAGCACGCCACAGAGATTCTTCTGCTCGCATTGTTTATTCAGGGGAGGGTATTGTGCCCAGATAACTTGCTTATTTCAGAATTCAGTTTCTCACAGAAAATGACATGCAAATGAATTGAAAGTGGTTTAAAGAAACGTGCATACATTGTGCAGTGACCCACAACCCCAGTGATTATATGTACTTAATGATATGCTGTTTCAGTAGTTTGCAAGTCAGTGAAGGGAATGAGAGAAACACCCTTGTTCAAAAGAGGTACAGTTGTGTTGGGAGATGATACAGTGCTAGGGGATCTCTCCTTACCTTTTTAAACATGACCTTGTCCTCTGACTATGGAGAGTAACTGTCAAAATACTTCAAATTTACAGAGTGGTTTTCATCTATAGCACTCAACAAGCTCTACCAAATGAAGAGGATTCTTCCCATTTTACAGAAGGTGAGCCCAGCTTCAGCTATGGAGCAGTTACCTGACACAGAGACCTAATTCCCAATGCTGGGACCAGCACGCCACACTTCGGGCCCTGCTGCCACTGAGGTCGGGATGCTGCAGTGGTGGAGCTGTAGCTTGCACATTACACAGATACAACTCTAGTGGAGGTTCATGTTCCCTTTGCTCTTTGCTTCTGTAAAATAACTGTGTGAGTTTACATTGATTAAATAAGATGTTTAATACATGTCTTAATATGTGACTCAAACAGTGCTGTCGCTAAAATAGTCAGTAAAGACGTGGGTGAGCAGAGCTACTTGGCACTGGTTGGCACCCTGTGCTCCACTTTGCAGCCTGTGTGAAGTGAGAGTGACATACTCCTGCTCTCATATGGGAAGGGAGAATTTGCACCCTGGAGCAGTTGAGTCTCGCATATTGGGCATGAGTACTCAGAGGTTTTGGCAAGCTATGGGGAACCAGATCCATGCAGGGATATCTTGTATAATGAAAGCTATCTGCTCCTGGGGAAAACAGACTGCAGAAACATCTCATTTGTTGGTTGCAATAGGAACTGTGTTGTAAAATGAGAACTAATTTTGTCTGTCTTTTCAATAAGCAAAGGCAGCTGTCTCACATGCACACTGCGTTCTTCTAGAGCTCTTGGTTGTGTTTTGCTCCAAGATGACTTACTAGTTTAAGATAGGCCAAATAAGGACACTTGAGTGCTGTGGACTAAACTGAACATTTGGACACATGGGCTTAATCCCATTATTGTGAGTTAATACAGGTCATTTGTTGCAATTGTGCATCTATAAATTATATATTTTGCTCTGAACCATAATGACTTGATAGAGGATTCAAAAGAAATTATTGCATGGCATGGCTTGTCAGTGCAGGTTCAAGGGGTGGATTCTTCCTCAGAGACTGGTAGATCCAAGAGTTGAATGCAGGAGATGAGACAAGCAGCTCTCTCCATATGACTTCCCTGCCAACGAAGAGTTGAACCAAGTACTTCAATCCCCTTTGTGTCTGAATTAAAGCATCCAAGCGTGTCTCTTCTTCAGCTGTTTAACAGCAGTCTGAAAAGCCTGGGCTGGTGGGTCCAGCGTGTTTGTGAAAGCTGTCACTGTTGCTTCACCAGCCATCGTCTCAGGCAGAGTGCACCCCAGAGAGCTGGGCTAGAGGTGGCTTTCCATCATGCCATGGCCACTGAACAGCAAAGCTGAGCAGTTTGGCAGCTTTGCATGAAGGGAAACAGACTAGAACATCAGGCACAATATCTGTGGGGATTGCTAGAAGTTTTATCCAAGTGAAACCTTCTGAAAGGGTGTTATTCCTTGGGGAAATCATGTTTGAATTGAGCCAGCTTTGGGTCAGGCAATGCCAGGCACTTTGCAGCATTGTCTCAGTCCCCTCAGGTATTACGTTTATAGCTCAGAATGCAGAGCTCATTCTCAAACAGGTTTCTCACCCCAGGGAAAAAAAATGTGGCTTTTTAATTCCTTTTTATTTCCCTGTTTGGTACATATTTTGTGCTCTTCCAGGGAAAGATGCTTTACCTTAAGTATATTATAAAGGCTTCTTCCAAAGTGAAGGAAATGGCTTGCACATAGGAAAAAAGGAGTTACTTAAACCAGTTTTTCTCTTTGCAATATTTCTCATTTTGAATAATAAATAGAGATTTGGAACTTAAAATATATTAAAGTAGCTATTTTTGCAGCAATATAAGTAAAATACAAGGGCAATTTTAGTTGAAGGACATAGAAGGACTTAGTTCATTCAGAGATTCATTTAAAGCATTTGAGAAGTCTGTCATCGGCAAGCTGTTAAATTCCCCAACTTAAATCCTGAAGTCCTTTCTGATTTCATACAGGGTGAAAATGATGATTGAAGCTTAGGGTAAAAACCACCTTTTTAGCTCATAGTCCTTGCCTGCTTTTGTGGAGTGGTGCATCTCAGAACAGCTGTAATACCTGCCCAACCTGTGGAATTTGTCCACTTTGTTGCTACTGTCCAAATGCTGGCTGCATTACCCAGGGCATAGCTGCTCCCTGCAGGAAAGAATTCCATCTGGATCCCAGCTCTTTTCTGTGTGTCCATGCGTGTCTGGTGTGTGCCCAGCCAAGGAGGGTCCATCACATTCTTCTGCCTGCTCCTCTGCAGAATTTGCTGCTGTTTTCTCTATCTAAGAAGTGGCTGACGGGAATGTAAATGGCTGGAAATGTGACATCACCTGGCAGCAAGAGCTCCTAGAAGTGCTAGCTGAGATAACTGCATGGATGCTGAGTCTCTAGCCAGACCTGAGCCTGGATAACACCGAAGGGAAGGGCACAGCCCTGAGGGCGTGCATCCTCCTAGGTGGGGCAGTGCTGTAAGCTCCTTC